CATTTAAGGCAAAAAAAAAAAAATAAGTCACAATCTTTAAGAACTCTACAATATATGTAACAAAATCACTGTCTCTGTTCAATTAGCTTGAATTTATTACATAAAATAAAATAAAATAATGAGCTTTACGAACAAAGCATTCTCGTCGAACTCCATCTTTCTCTGGAATATAAATCTAAGTAAATGCAAACTGAACTCACTTTTCACAACAAATTCCACGAAATTGTTTGCTTTCTCTGGCTAGAAACTTTATCTGACAAATGAATTCATGTAATGATCAAAGATCGAACATCAAAGATCAAACTTTGGATAAACTTGTATGATTTCTGTCTTCCACAACCAAAGTTGTTGTTTCTCGATGTATGACTTTACACTTCCTGAATTGTTAACTCGATGCGAAAAACTCAACAAAAATATTACAACAATGATGAAGACAGAATTTGGCAAAGAAATACGGGCAATGTTACATTCACATATGTAAGATCATGCCTAAACTAACTGAAAGGGTAATGTTTCTTTGCATTTAGAGTCGCGCAAATTACAAATTTTAATCCATGTAGTTTAATCATTCCTAATACTTTATGAGTTTTAATGAGAATACTTCATTTTTAAAAACAACCCCATCTGCTAAGAATAAAGGCTAAACTGATATGAAAGAATTCTAGAAAAAAAAAATCTTCCTTTCACTATTTAAATCGAGGAAACAAACAAAAACTTAAGAAATTCTTTCTTGTGTTTTAGAGATTTTAAAGAAGGGAAAAGTTTTATGTATTACGTTGATAAAAACAAAGTATAATACAATAGTATTGAATTTATATAAAAGATAGATCCTAGTATATTGAATAACTTAGCCTAGTTATAGAGAATTAATTTTAAAAATGAAGTATCAGATCTTTTGGCCGAAAACATTCTTAAGCTGCCAAAATCTATGCAATATCCTTAAGTATCCATGTGGACAAAGGATATCCACAAATCTTATCAAAGTGAACAGATCTTTAATTGCACACTTTAAAAATCAAATAAAACCCACAATCATTGTGCATGACATCCCACTGTCATACTAAAGATATTAATTGTTTGATCCCTCAAATTTTGTTGATAAACTACATATATACATCAACGTATTTGTTATATACATCAATCTATTTGTTATATCAAGTTGTATTTCGTTAGATTGTAATGAGCCACTTGACAACATAATGTTAACTCAAACTGAAGCACTTACCTGGAGTAGTTTTGAATGCTAAAATTAGTGTTTTGATGCTTCCTTCAGATTCATGTTCTTATAGCTCTGCCTTCTCAGCAATGTTCAAGAAGACTTCTTAGCATTGTAAGACATATGGATGTCCCATATGCCAAACTCCATTTAACTAATTTCTATCTCAGTAAAGAACTTCTGATGCAGACGTGCACACATACACACACATGTAAACAGAATATCAGAAATGTTATAATATTAATACGTCTTCTGATTCTCCTTGTCGTGAGGAACAACAAATGCCAAGCATGACTTATCTTCCTCTTTTGGTGTGACATCTAAGTCAAGTCAAACAAAAAACTTAGGTTAGGAGCATGAATTTATTAATAGTAGAAAATATCAAGAAAAAATTCTTGGTAAAAGGACATGTCTGAAGAATTCTTTGACAATCTCAATACATTTCCTGTCTATCATATTACTTGTGGAATTTACATCATCAAGACAGTAAAGTATGCCCTTTTAACTCCAATTTGATAAAATAAAATATTAACTTCCTCCATAGAATGTGTTGTCAAAATGATTGAGCGCACTTGCTTTATAGCGCCAATAACACTTGCAATGCTATGCCTATTAAAAGTGTCGAAGACTTCCGTAACCTTAGATTCGTTATGATGTTTGACTTTAAAGTTGGCTACATAATTAAGTATGATATCGACGAAAATAGTTTTAGTTTTTGTAAAGATTGAATTGTCACATGATAATGTTATTACCTATTAGTATCTCTTACTTTAATATGTAAAGTATACTGTCCTTGCATAATTTTGTCACAATATGCTTCAGAGTTAAGTCTCAGTGTGATAATGTCCCATTCCTACTTTGAGTTAAAAACTTGATAGTGTTAAAAACTTTAATCTGAATGGCTACCTTCAAAATGTTTATGTGTATCCTGTTTTCAAATGGCGATGAGGCATGAACAAACTGGAGATTGATAGCATGATTTTCCCCACACAACGCTAATCAAGATTAAATACACCAGTGCCCAGCAAAGTTAGCGCTGACTCGTATCCGTCACTTCCTGATGAGTTAAGCCTCAATGTCCCAATCCTACTTTAAGTTAAATATATATATATATATATATATTCAACATTCACATATGGAAGGAAAAAGTCAAAAACAGAAGGGAGTACATCACCTGAGATGAATAATTGCAAAATGATGATTAGATGCTTAGCAATTTACTCATCGAACAACAAAAAATCACAAAGAACGATTTTGGATGCGATTTTCCCCGGATAAATTTGTATAATTTCTGGATAAACTTGCTAAGATCATGCCTAAATTAACTGAAAGGGTAATGTTTCTTTGCATTTAGAGTCGCGCAAATTACAAATTTTAATCCATGTAGTTTAATCATTCCTAATACTTTATGAGTTTTAATGAGAATATTTCATTTTTAAAAACAACCCCTTCTGCTAAGAATAAAGGCTAAACTAATATGAAAGAATTCTAGAAGAAAAAAAATCTTCCTTTCACTATTTAAATCGAGGAAACAAACAAAAACTTAAGAAATTCTTTCTTGTGTTTTAAAGATTTTAAAGAAGGGAAAAGTTTTATGTATTACGTTGATAAAAACAAAGTATGTAGATAGTCATATATATATATATATATATATATATATATACAGCATTCACACATAGAAAGGAAAAAGTACAAAGACAGAAGGAAGTACATCACCTGAGATGCATAATTAGTAAATAGATGATTAGATGCTTAGCTAATTTACTCATAGAACAACGAAAAATCAACAAAGAACGTATTTGGTAATA